AGCCGTATTTACGTAGATGGATTCAAAGATACTTACTGCCCAAATAAAAAGTTTGATTTCTCAAAGGTATGTCTAAGATTTCAAGTCAAGTTGGCTGGTGTATAATACTAGTATTGCTGGTGAAGTCGGAGCCTGGGCTGATGAGGTAAACTGCCCAGGGTCTTTATTGCGTGCAGGTACCCCAGCCAGGTACCTAACCTTGGAAGCATTGATGTACCTGTACATACCTACATAGGTACATAAGAATACGTACCCACATTGAATATGCGACTAAGAGAACATAGCATATCTCAACATCCATTGAATAAGTGGATACCTACCTAGGCTCACCTTCAAAATATAGAAACCGCCAATCCACGTAACCGACAACAAAAACTCAACATAACACCCATATCTACGTCTTATCTCGATCCTTGTTTTATTTCATTGTTCGTGATCGCGCCCGTAACGCTAGTCCGACCGCGATAAGAGCAAAACGACGCCATGGAGGTCGTTGAACCCGACCTCCCGTCCCTTGCCCTGCAAAACGCGAAGCGATCCAACCTACTTTTCGCCAGCATCCCGTCTGAGGCACCTAGGAAGCGACTCAAGCTCATACAAGACCCCACAAACACGAAGGATGCCTTATCTATACGGCTTCACGCAGAGTATCGGGATCTCCAGGCCCTACCGCCTGCCCTTGCCCAGAAGCAAGCCAACGCCGCCAGCCTGCGCAAGAGGGCCAAGAAACAACCCGTCGGCGAACCCGCTGCCTCCCCTGATGATCAGAGGGCGCAGAAGCTTATCGAAGGCATAGCCGAGAAGACGCCAGCCTCAGGGTCGACGGCGCTCCAGATCCGCAGGCCACCGCCCGGCTCCAACACACTACACAATCCGTCTCAGGCCTTGAGCACCGCCCGCGCTCAGGCCACACACCAGATCAAGCCCGATTGGCACCCGCCGTGGAAGCTGATGAGAGTCATTTCCGGCCATCTGGGTTGGGTCAGGGCTCTGGCCGTCGAGCCGAACAACCAGTGGTTTGCCAGCGGCGCCGGCGATCGCACGATCAAGATATGGGATCTCGCCACGGGGAACCTGCGGCTCACTTTGACCGGGCACATCTCGACGGTCCGTGGCCTTGCCGTATCTCCGAGGCACCCCTATCTCTTCTCGTGCGGCGAGGACAAGATGGTCAAGTGCTGGGATCTCGAGACCAACAGGGTCATCCGCCATTACCACGGCCACCTGAGCGGCGTGTACACGCTGGCGCTGCACCCGACCCTCGACGTGCTCGTCACCGGTGGCCGAGACGGCGCCGTGAGGGTATGGGACATGCGCACACGCAGCAACGTCCACGTCATGTCCGGCCACCGGGGGACGATAGCCGACGTCAAGTGTCAGGAGGCAGACCCGCAGGTCATCAGCGGCTCCCTCGATTCGACGGTGAGGCTGTGGGATTTAGCCGCCGGCAAAACCATGAGCGTGCTCACGCATCACAAGAAGGGCGTCCGGGCTCTCGCCGTTCATCCTACCGAATTCACCTTTGCCACGGGCAGCACGAACAGCATCAAGCAGTGGAAATGCCCCGAGGGCGCCTTCATGGGCAACTGCGAGGGCCACAACGCCATTATCAACACGCTCTCCGTCAACGAGGACGTCTTGTTCTCTGGCGGCGACAACGGAAGCATGAGTTTCTGGGATTGGAAGACGGGCCATAGGTTTCAGTCCCTCGACTCCATCGCCCAGCCCGGCTCCTTGGATGCCGAGGCCGGCATCATGAGCTCGACATTTGATCGCACCGGCATGCGGTTGATTGTGGGTGAGGCGGATAAGACGATCAAGATATGGAAGCCGGATGAGAAGGCCACGCCCGAATCACATCCTCTCGAGTGGAAGCCTACCTTGGGCCGACAGAGGTTTTAAGAGTGTTGAAAGGTTGTATTAACTATATGGTGCACTATGTCTGAATAATGACGGGGTCCCCCGCAGTTCGACTGGAGAATAGATCGCACTTTTCTACGATACCAGATGCGGGATTTACCAAATGTATTAGTGTTCTCGCACACAATTTGTATATATCATATTCAAAGGGGTCATAACCCGACACGGCGCATTATATGCGATAAAAAAAGCGACGCAATCACAGAAGAGATTATTATATGTCATTCATGACTTGTTTGTTCCTCGACTAGAATGCTATACCCAATGCTTTAATCTCTGGATCATCGCGGAGCGCAAGCTTTACTTCCTCATCGCCTACGGCGAGTCTCATCTTGCTAGGTCTCTCGACCCGGTGTCCCTCGAGAATGACGATGCCAGCACCGGCCAACCCTATCGCAGCAGCTTGAACACCGGCTGTCCGGGCCATCTTGGATCCCCTATTCCGGGCGTCGCCGCCACGCGTTAGTAGGCCAACGCGTCGGCTGGCCGCATCCAGCATGAGGGCGCGTTTCGCCTCCTCCAGTACGTCGCCGTAAGTCGAGTCCGGTAAACCCGTCCTCTCGTTGCGCACTAGGAGCGAGGCAAGCGTTACTTTTGAGGCAAAGGGGAGGCCGCGCAGATATTGCTGTAGCGGACTCGTAGTCGCCTCGTTAATGGCTCTCTTGACCGTCGCGATCGTGACTCGGCCACGGGAAGCCTTTCCCTTGTTGTCGAGCTCCTCCTGCTGACGCCTAGCTCTCTTGCTAGGCGTCGCGGGATCGCCGCCTGGGCCCTTCCACTCAGCTTCGGCCAGTTCGACGGCGCGCCGGCAGATGTCCAGGGCGCGTCTCGCATCGCCGCTTACGGCGGCCACCTTGCGGCTGGCGAATTGCACTGCGTCCGGCTCCACAATGTGACCCGGCACTCCTTCGAGCCTCGACTGGATGATCTTCATTAACTGTTCGTGATTGTAGCCGGGGAAGGTAATGCGCGTTAAGCCTAGGCGGCTGCTGATTTTATTGCTGAGCGTTCTCTCAGGCAGATCCATCGTGTTGGCCACGGCAAGGACGATCAACCGCGAGTGCCGCAAGCCGGGCCAATTGAAGAAATTGTACATGACGCTTTGGGTTTTGGTCACGAGCTGGTCCAGCTCGTCCATTAGGACCACGCATGGGACGCGGCGCGGACTGGGGTGACTGAATTCTCGTTCCAGGAGATCCAGCGCCTGGCTCGGGCTGACTCTCTGGCCCCGCAGCGCTTCCCAGAGAAGACAGTAGGACTGGTGAGGGTCCGTGATTTTCATCCCGTTGATCTCGACGAAGATAAAATCATCCAATTCGTCGGCCCGGACAGCGTCATCTAGTCGAGAGACAACTTCGCGGACCGTGGCCGTCTTTCCGGTGCCGGGTGTGCCAGAGATGTAAATGCACGCTCCTGAACCATCAGTAATAGCAGCTTCGAGATGGGAGTACACTATGGAGAACTCGGTCTCTCTACATGGAAGTGTTGTGGGCACAGATGCCACGTGTAACTGAGCTCTGGCAATCTGGAATGGGGACGATTGGTTATGGCTAGGAGATACCAGACGCGTAGCCAGTGGTGTGAATTCGAGTGCCTTCTTCACTATAATCCGACTACGTTAAGTTAGTCTCAAGATGACAAGCCAAGGAGGTGGGAGAAAGAAAACCCGATAAATAGAAAATAACATGCTTTCGACTCGAGGGTGTCGCAACGCGTGACGTCTTTTGCCTCTTCCGCGGGGTCCTGGGTTTAGACTGAGTACCGTGATCTGAAGACAAATATCCATCATCGCCATCCGTCTCCTCCTCTTCGGGCACATCATAGAGTCGCTTTTTTCTGGGCGTATATTCAGTAGTGGTATCGTCTGATGTGTTGTGAGACTTTGGCTGTTTTCTGGTTGATTTTGTTCCACTTTGAACTAGTTTTATTAACTTGCTAATGTCATCGAAGCCGCCAGAGAAGATATCCTCCCAGATGAATTCGGGGGTGTAGGTTGTCGTCCTAGTATTACAGCCTCTGCGACAAACGAAGGTCTTATTGTATGCGGGTGATGAACGAGGAACCTTGCCAGAAGGAAACTCGCGTGAAAACGCCTGGTGGGACATTATACGTGCTTCGCCATTTATCGAAGCAAGGGAATTTATATCGGAGGATGAGGTGATGTATAATTCATTCTACACAAGTATTCATGCGTCAATCAAGTGGGTATGCGAGGCGACGACGTGAAAAACGGGAGAGACGAACGGAGAGGAAGTCGGACCGCTTGCGAGGGCCATTGCGAATCTCGTTCTCGGGAGAAAACCACAGGAAGTCGGCAGCCATGTCGCCATCCTCGTCGGCTTCCACGAAATCGATGATGATGGCGGCCCAGACCTGGTTGGCGCCGTCGGTCTTAAGCAGGACGCAATCGCCGACATGGAACTCGAATTCGCCATTTCGGGCGCCGATAATCTGGCGAGCGCTGTCACGACGCGCACGGCCCGACTGCCTTAGGACGGTGCGGTATACCCATTCCCATTCGTCCGTCAGGTCATCGTCTTGGGCATTTTGCGACGAAGCAGAGCGGCGGGGCATGTCACCAAGAGGCTCAGGCCTTGAAGAACACTTGCAGGGGGTCGGCGTGTTATTCTCGGCTTCACTTTCGTCCGTAAATGGATTGGCAAGGTAGGTTACGTGTTCGCTGTGCTGCCCAATATTTGTCTCTACCACTTCAGGAGACAGACGGCCGAGGTAGGTGTGTGCTTCAATTGTCTTGAGAGTGGAAATGGCAGAAGCCAAGACGCGTCTTTAGCGCTGTATACCAGCAGCTTTAGTAGGTAGCAAACGCGACGTCATGTGATTCAATTAAAGACTTTACTACTCCGTATACCCCACATTAATCTAAACCCTGCCAAGAACCAGAGCTTTGAGATTGCTTCGTTTCTCTTACTGGTATACCCCCTTGTGAGAGGTTCCAATTTCCGTCAGACCTTCTCCGGCTTCCTCTATTCATGCCACTTGTAGAAAAGAATTGTTAGATTTGATTTAGAAGTAGGATCATGAAGACGTAGACTAAAAAAGGAATCCGGAGAAAAAAGACTTGGACAAGGTCGGAGTCGCACCGACTACTTCAGGGTCCGGATAGTAAGAGTCCCATGTGTTACCAATTACACAACCTGCCCTTGAACTAATAACTAGAGCATCTAGCCAACGCATTCTCAGGATCGGATCTGGACACCAATGGCAATGGGCATTAAGTTATAGGCGCGCCATCATCCAGGAGCCAAATATGCCACGATTTGAGGATAAATCGGTTGTCCTGGTCATATGCATGATTCCATGGCGTTTCATTATTCCACATATGTCACACCAATTCTGTTAAAGAGGCAATAGCTGTTCAGGCGACACCTGCTATTTGCCACTGTTCTGCTTCGTATTCCATGCATGAACCAAAATTGATACATAGGTCTCTCGCGCAGCCGCTCCTCCAACTCTGCTATATTATATGAATCCTCCATGCATTCCGGACCCCGGTAAGTGTTAACACATGAGAACCATGGTGAGAATGATTCAATCTTGACATATCACAGCCGAACGGAGTCGGGACAAGATATAGCATTATTTACCATTCTGCCAATCGGATTGTAGCCCCTCTCTCTTCAACTATATCGCACAAGGCAATATTCAGCAGTCTCGGAATCATCGATCATACTTGCTGCCAGCCAGCCATTTCCCCCTCCCAAGCCTAGTTATGATTTGCTCGGTAGTCTAGGTTTTTGAATATTTTGCAAAGCATCCTTGTTTGGAGTGCTTCGAACTCAGCGTAAGTGGCCGGAATGGGTGCTGTGCCGTCTCGGTACCCGGAGTCCACAATTATATTAAATACCACGCCGGTGAGTGGGTGTGGGGTACGGCGTGATTCGAGCCAATTGTCGATTTAGCTGTGCCGTTGTCAGGGACAGGTTCGGCGAGGTGGTGGAGGTCAGGAAAAGCAACTGCCCGGGTAGCTCGCATGTGACATCGATGCATCCGGGACTGCAGTGGCGGTTGTATTACTGTCCTCGTACTATTTCAGCAGTAATTGGGACACCCGTGTCCTCGAATTAGGTGCTCATTGGGTAGTCCACATCCCATGACGGTGGCGAGCCGAGTGATCACGGCATATCGCATAACGAAGACCGGAGCTGCTAGCCCTAGCCTCAAAGCCTTGCCGAAATGTCCCCTCCGCCGCGCCAACTCCGGCCCCTGCTGTCGTTACTTACGTATATGTTGCCGGCTCGGATGGATCAATAGGAATAGAAACATGGCCCTACACACACGATATTAGAACCAGGAACGATCTGGACAGTAGTTATAACAGACACTAGATACAGTCTAAGCTTATCGACAACCTGGGTTTGGCATCTGTTGGTGAGATCACTTCAGCATACAAAGCAGTATAGTATTCTGGATGAGTGAATTGCTTTTTTGTAACGTATGTATCCGTGGCAGACGTCATATTATACAATAAAGATGCCGATGGTGTACAGTATTGTAGGTTGGATGATTATCGAACACGCCATACAGGCATATTATACTGCATGGCGAAAAGAAATGCGTGGGGGGCTCATACCTATCCAGAGCAGAGTTTCCTCCTATTTTGGGTCTCTCCAAGGTAGATAGACAAACGCTGTTACGTTAATATTATTCCCTATCGTCATGGTTGCCAGGCTTTTCATCTGCTCTCAACGATGGATTCTCACCTCCATTAGAACAGGCCACCTCATCCAAGAGATCCAATAGTAAACAGTACACTTTCTCGAGCGAGGGGATCGTCCCGAGACTTGCCTCGAACAACAACATACTTACACAGGCCGCTTTAAGACTACAAACCTGCCTTAGAAGAGGTGCTTGGTTCGAGTTCGTATTGAACGCGGCTTGCAGGCTCGGTTCATTGAGGTTGTCTCGCCACCGGCATAGCTTACCCCCATCGCCTGACTGCATTGCTAGAGTTCCGAAACTACGTTCGAAGTATAAGATGGACCTTTTGTCCTTGATCTTGCTCTTAGATCAGACTAGAACTTTATAATCATCAGCAACAATACCTCCCCAGAGACTATCTATCAGCAGCAGCAACACCCACAGAGACACTTTCCATCTTGTAATTACCCTTCTTCACCATGGCCGACGACAACCCTCCCCCGAACATAGGTGCGGACTTCTATGAGAAGGAAAATTATGAAGGCAAATTGACTCAGTACACCATCCACGATACCAAGAACTTCGCACCGAAGAAAATATCCGACCTTTATAAATCCGCCAAGGTCGGCACCGGCGTCAAGGTCCTCTGCTCAAATGAACCCGACATCGATGGCAGCTACCATTATGTGGGATACAAGCAACCTGACATAGAGGGACTGCCGTTCAACTATATCAGCGTCGACCCGAATGACACCCACGTCTTCAAGTACACATTCATCGACAATACAGGCGGCTACCCTAGTTAGTCTCCTGGAGTCATTATTTCCCCCATTTGGCAGGTTCCGGGCCTCATTACTCCTGCATGCTCCCGAAACATGAGCTGGAATCTTACTCCTTTCGGTAATTACTAACTCCAGCGTGTAAACAGAGCAGTATAGTCTCACTATCCAGGTGCATGACTTGGGCAAGAGAATCGTGTATTCCAACGACGGCCCGACCTCCAAGATCGCTGGCATAATCGAGGGATCGGGGGTGATCAATACGATCGCCGTCTCGGTTCGTGACGAGAAAACCGAGCAGTATATATTGAACGGTTCCATCTACTACAAATGGGACGACGAGCAGGAGGCAGTTATCATCGAAGCGACGGACGAATGGCCACCACAGTTGCAGCACGAGCGAGATGGGCCCGCCAGTTTTGTAGTCACGCTCAAGAGCCTTCCCTAGGGTAAATGTTGCAATCCAAGAAGTGCAAGCGCTGTGGCCTGATCGCTGGGGTGGACGGTGAACGGTGGAGGTATTAGGAGTCAAGACATCTGTTTGTGTCCCTATTTCCGGTCATCAACTAGCTAGTTCATTCATCCTGTGGAGGACCGGTGCTGGGAGCCACAAATCAACTTGTGTCTCTATGATAGATTCCAGTCATTAACTGACTGAGTCGAAATGTGGGGGACTAATCTAGCTCACTGGGTGTGTTTGTAGTCAAGCAAATTTAACAATTAATATCTACTACCTAGGTACCTGCCTACCTTACCTGCCTCGGTGCTTCCCATGTAGGTAATGAACAAGTGAACGTTGCTCCCTGCATAAGCAATACCTATTAGTGCCCATCTATCTTATTTGCCTTTTATGTACCAGCTTGTTTTCGTAAATTGATTGTATCCTTAAGTCAAACTATATGCATAGAGGCAATTACAATACGGGCTGCAGGTGGGCAGTTGGAGATTTGAAATAGGTAGCCCATTAACACTGGTATAGATGCTCTTGCCCTAACATAACTCTATTGCGCCAGGAACTATTGTGTGGTAGCAGTTACCTCCTTTCTCACGCGCCCTTAAAGTAGGTACCTACCCACAGGGTGTGCTTATACCTAAACTCTCTATGTAGCTATAGTACCTACGTTTTAAATATTTTTAAACGGCGGTTGCTACTTCTTGAAGTGAAACTTGCTGCAACTTCCACTTTAAGGTTGTCTGTACATATAACTTTTGTGAAAATGTTTGTTGCTCTGTCCATAATTTAATTACACATGCTTAATACCCTATTTCTCTGCCATCCTTTCTTGTGGACCCCTTCCGCCTCTCTTCCTTGTCCACAACCCCGTACTTCCATTCAGGGATACTAGACTCTGCTGACTGTTGTCACTCTTGATCAGCCATCTACTATACAAGTCAACGCGGATGTTTTCAAAGACCTAGAGGCTATAATCCTTAGATATCTCGCCAAGACCAGCCTCCAGCTATCAGCCAACATGGCCACGGCCACCTGCAAGTCAGGTTCGAATGAGTCTACGCACCATGGAATATCTGTCCCGTTGAGGGCTGAGATGTCCCCGATGGCTGCGATAGAGCAGAACGCCCTTGCAAAAGAAAGAGGCATGGTCACCGCGTGCCAGACTGGTGGAGTTGTCTGTTCCCAGCTCTTTTCAATTTTGATGAAATATCAACTAACTTATTGGGCCGGACAAGGCTACCTTTATTATCCCCGGAGAACCCGATGCCGTCAAAGGCGTGATCAAAGCAGTGTACAATGACCTGAAAGATGGCAATAAGGATGCCAACATAGAATTTCGGGAGACAACAGTGCCGTATATCCGGGTCCATGCACCCACAGAGAAAGACGCATTGGCATTGATTCGCACTGCACAACGACTAGCAATAGCACACCTCTCAGGTGACTCTACAGAAGCAAAGGCCATCTTCGTTGAGCCACCCATGAACTGCATGACGACTAACTTCGAGATCGATGTTCATGTCTTTGATACTACTAAATACGCACGCCATACACTTGAGCGTATTCCTGGCACGCTAGATATGGTGCGTACACCATCTTTAGGCAGATACAAACGTGAGCTGTCACAAAGTCTATGTGAATCTTTCGAAAAGGCTTCCAATCTCCACACATCCTTAAGTCTGAAGATTTATTTAGGATGTTACCTCCTTCACACTTACAAAACAGGCAAATTCACACTGGAACAATTTGAGACAATTGTGAAGCATCCGCGAGCTACGGGCAAGTTAAATACTTGGTGAGTCTATCTTAACCATCGAGTGAGTCATGGTTTGAACTGACGGGCATCCTTAGTCTAGGCAAGGCGCCATTCGCAGAGGGGCTGAATATCGGGGCAACACTGAGTTTGATCCAAGCGGCCAGTAGCCCATGTATTCCGTTAGACAATCAAACGGCCACATCTGCTGATGTTACTCCAACGTATGTCCTTGAGATTTGGCACGGCAACGACTGTTATGAGGCAGAGTTAGACATCAGTAGAGCGAAACAAGATCCCGCCAATGAGCGCCCAACGTACACCGTAGCGCGTACTAAGATGATCCCGCAGAGTGCGCAGGTCCCTCGGTTTGAGGCTACTAGCCTCAGCATTGGCAGGTGAGCAGCTCTACATTAGCGTGAGTTTCCTATTATCCAGCTAACACAATATTCATGTCAGAAAGCTGGATTGGAAGATAGCAGCCATGCCAGGGGATGAGAAAGTAAGCGTATCTTT